TGGCCAGGCTGGTCTCGAACTCCTGACCTCAAGTGATCCTCCCACCTTGGCCTCCCAAAGTGCTGGGATTACAGGTGTGAGCCACCACACCCGGCCCATTTATTGCTTTTTAATGTTAATAATCAGAAACAAAAATGGTTGTAAGTCATTTTTTACTTTACATAAATGGAAGTTGTACGTTAACTGTTTGGTCCATGTCCTTCTTACCTTCATCTTGAGTTCATGTAGACATCACAGTGTACCCTAGGCCTGAAAGGCAAGCTTCACAACAGATGCAACCCATTTTGTGTGTTGAGGTTCTAGGGACCAATAAATACCACTGTTCTTCTCCATCCAAGTAGGGAGACACTTGAGAGAGAAATGGAGATAAAAAAGTTTGCCCCAGATAAACCGACAAAGTTATTAAGCCAAGCCTGACTAGGTCTCTGGGCCAAGTGAGAGTGATCTGCTTCCGCTGCTGGGAGTAGCAGAGGTTTCAGGCCAGTCTATCCCAAAGAGAAAGGCCTGGGGCTGAGCATGCATGGTGCCTTCTCCCAGGTGGGCACAGAGGCATAGCTGTGTGGAATTGGGATGCTGTGGAATAGAGGTGTGCACATGTGCACTCATACCCCCTTGGTACATTTGTCAAAACCATCCATCCCCTCTTGGAGCAGAATTCTGGAAGTGTGTTTACTGGCCTTTACTCCTGAAGGAGATGTTGGTCCTGGTGCTCTTTGCAGTGTGTACTTCAGGATTAGTTTAGTTTGGGGTAAGCCTGTAGTACATTTGCAGTCATACTAAAGTGTAGAGGGATACAGCCTTACTTTCTTCTTAATGCTTGTTGAAATACTTTCTTTTGAAGCTGGAGATGAAATTGTGGACCTCACCTGTGAATCTTTAGAGCCCGTTGTTGTTGACTTGACTCACAATGACTCTGTTGTGGTAAGTGTTGGGAGTGTGAGAGTCGGCTGTTTCTTGGGTGTGGGTCCCTGGCCAGTGCCAGCATCTGACAGCCTTGGTCACAGACTACAAGTCAGGGTTGTAACTTATGCTAAAGAAGTTAAGACATCTTGTGGAATCAAACTTTTAAAAAGGAAAAAACGGCCAGGCGTGGTAGCTCACTACTGTAATCCCAGCACTTTGGGAGGCTGATGTGGACAGATCATGAGGTCAAGAGATTGAGACCATCCTGGACAACGTGGTGAAACTCAGTCTCTACTAAAAATACAAAAAAAAAAATTAGCTGGGTGTGGTGGTGTGCGCCTGTAATCCCAGCTACTCGGGAGGCTGAGGCAGGAGAATTGCTTGAATCCAGGAGACAGAGATTGCAGTGAGTCAAGATCACACCACTGCACTCCAGCCTGGGCGATAGTGTGAGACTCCGTCTCAAAAAAATAAATAAATTTTTAAAAAGGAAAAAAACAATAGCAAAAAAGAAGCTCATGCATTTAGTGACGAGAACCCAAACTGAAAACTATTTCAAGAAAATCATGTTATAGCTTTGTTGCCCATGAAGCAGATCTGTGTGACCTGACCTTGCCACACCTGGGCGTGAGCCACTGCACCCGGCCATATTTAGTTTTAGGTTTTTTTTTTTTTTTTTTTTT